TATTGCGGCACTCCTGTGAAAAACACTGCACTAGATGGACATTATTTGAGGGGGAAGGTTGGCCAGGCAGGGGGGGGGGGGGTATAGTACTGTCGCTTAAGAGCGTGAAAATGTTGCATTTTAAAGTAAAACGGACACAGGTTCATGTACACTGTAATAATCACCTGATTGTTATCATTGGGTATGATTAAATGATTATTAGACCATTTTGGACACACTGTCGCTCATATAAAGGGAGTACAATCATAACCTTGGGGTGCAAATTTACACCTTCTTATAAAGAAAACAAATTTACTCCCTACATTGGGGAGTAAATTTACTCCCTGAGGGGTGTCACTAATGTGACAAGCAGTTACTCCCTATAGGGAGTTAATTTACACCTACTTTTCTCTGTGTGTAGGTCAAAGGCTGTCGAGCAGTCGCCGCCCGGTCGCCGCTGGGAGATCAGTCGGTCAATGGGCGGCGAGTCCAAAATCGGTCGGCAGCCTTTGACTAAGCTGCTTCGATTTTTGACCTAAATCGCTCGGCGGCGAACGCTCGATTAGTTCGGTGCCCGGGTGGCGAACGGCCGGGCACCGAGCGTATTTTGGAGCCCTGCCGATCACTGGCCGGCCGGCGTGCAATATCTTTAAAATCAGCCGGCGGCCGGTGGGAGACTGCTCGGGAATCGGTAGGTCTCCGGTCAGTCACTGCCGGGACACCGCGTGGAAAAGCTCCGCGATTTCCCCTAGTTTTGACCTAAAATCGACCGGCGACCGACGGGAAATCGACAGGGCACCGCTGGGGCTCTGCAGCCTGCTCGACTTCTCCAAAAATCGCTGGGCGATGCCTAAATTCCAGCGGCGACCGAGCAGGCTACTATTCGGTCGGTCGCCGCTCTGATTTGTGACCATAGCTTAAGTTTTTCAATGGTTGCTTTTTGTTCTTATGTTTAAAATGGCGAATGTCCATCGGTGAATGTATGATTTTTGTCAGACAGTACTCAATATGCCAAAGTCCGTTTTTATTGACTGATGTTCCATTTTGGCCATCCTGATCTCAATGAGCATGACATCATGTCTATAAACAGCTAAGTTGTTCAATGGTTGTTGTTTTTTTGGTTATGTTTATTGGCAAATGTCCATCGGTGAATGTATGATTTTTGTCAGGCAGTACTCAAGATGACCAAAGTCCGTTTTTATTGACATGATGTTCCATTTTGGCCTTCCTGATCTCAATGAGCATGACGTCATGTCTATAAAAAGCTAAGTTGTTCAATTGTTGTTTTTTGTTGTTGGTTTAATGGCGAATGTTCATCGGTGAATGCATGGTTTTTGTCAGGCAGTACTCAAGATGACCAAAGTCCGTTTTTATTGACATGATGTTTCATTTTGGCCATCCTGATCTCAATGAGAATGACATCATGTCCATAAATATCAAATATAAACTATGAATGAATGGTGGCGTAGCTACGGTGGCGCACGGGAAAGGGGGGGGGGGGCACGTGCCCCACCCCCAATCGAATGATAAACAAAAAAGTGAAAGCAAAAGGAAAGATGAAGGAAAGGGGGATGAACGTGATGTAAGAAGATACTTTAGTTTGGGTTTAACTCACAGACTCTGATATGTATAGTAGTTATTATGTAACAGGTAAATGTTTGCTGTATAAAACTCACATCTCAATGGTAATACCTATTTTGGGGGTAAAATTATCGAAAAGTGGAGATAGAAGTGAAAGATAGAACACATACTGGAAAACAGACAGAGCGAGTATGTACACTGTTGCTCATAAAGTTGGAATATTTTTTACCCCAATTTATAATTATAAATAGGGGTAAAAAAAAATATATTCCAACTCTGTTTTCCGGTATTTCTTCTATCTTTCACTTCTATCTCCACTTCTTTCTCTATTTTGCTGTTCACTACATCAAGGACGAAGATCACCCCAAAGCATTTCTCGATAATTTCGCCCCCCAAAATAGGTACTACCATTTGAGATGTGAGTTTTATACAGCAAACATTTACCTGTTACATAATAACTACTAAACAAACAAGTACATGCCCTCACTTAATACACTTGATTTGAACTTTATGTCGACTAGATAAGCTCAGTCTATTAATAAACAGAGATATTTATCCTGGAGTTTGCAGCATGTTTCAACAGCAATGGTCGAATACACATTTAAAGGCGCTCCTCCGACAGAACAAGATCAATTGTATAGAGTTCATTATATTTTCGTACATATTGATTTAGACTATGTCACTAGCTGTGAAAAATATGTATATATCAGAGTCTGTGAGTTAAACCCAAACTAAATTATATTCTTATATCACATTCTTCCCCCTCCTTCATCTTTCCCTTTGCTCTCACTTTTTTGTTTGTCATTCGATTGGGGGTGGGGCACGTGCCCCCCCCCTTCCCGTGCGCCACCGTAGCTACGCCACCATTCATCCAGAGTTTATATTTGCTATTTATGGACATGATGTCATACTCATTGAGATCAGGATGGCCAAAATGGAACATCATGTCAATAAAAAAACGGACTTTGGCATCTTGAGTACTGCCTGACAAAATGCATCATGCATTTAACGACGGACATTCACCATTAAACCACAAAACAAACAAAAAACAATTGAACAACTTAGCTGACCATTTTCTCTATAGGGACACGGCCCTTTATTTTTTTTTGTCTGCAAAATTACTTAATTTTTCTTTTAATAAACATGTCGGCCGTCGTAAAAGCTGATAACCAATCCGTGCGTGCTTATTCTTCTTTGAATTGAGTGACAAATTGGACACAAATTAAAAATGACGGTACATTTTCTGTTATAGTTCTTTTAACTAACTCTTCTGCAATATGGTCAGACCCCCCCCCCCCCCCCCTCCCAACCCCCGGCCAGTTGAAATGCTAGTTACGCCCCTATGACCATACTATAAGGTCATGTATAACACGCTACCGTTGCATATAATATAGTGGGAATGTGTGCACCTTTGGCGGATAATCAACAAGTCGCGGAAGATAAGAATTCAACCGATGTGGGTATTGAATCCGTGTTCTTATTTGCTAACAGAACTTAAAGGGATAGTTGAGTTCTGTTGCAGAGGGCGCTACACAAAATAATTTTTGTGTGAGATAATGAAAAACTGAGTGTCAAATTTGAAAGAACATAATATTTAAATGACAAAATCATCTTTGTTTGATCAAAATCGGTTCAGAGACGGCTGAAATATAACTATTTCTAATACTTGTGTACCACCATGTATAAGATATTTTGAAAAATTTGTAAAAACCATTAAAAAGAACGAAATAACGCCTTTTACGTCGTATTTCAGCCAATGCCGATGTTGGCTTTTTGTTGGCATTTTCGTGTTGCTTATATTACACACAATTAGCCGGCTCATGTATTGTTATTTTTAATTAAATAATTAAGTAACGGTCACCGTGTTTTTTTAAAGTGGAGCTGAATTGGTATGATCGTATTGGCTAAATTTCACACATTTTGGGGTCTAAAATGACCTTCATAGCAAGTTTAGGTTATAAAAGGGCACTATAAATGTCATAGATAAAAATAAGAGCAATAACCATGCACTTTGAAGGGATTTTCGGTCTGAAAACAGAACTCAACTATCCCTTTAAAGGATGGATGCATCTGGGCAGTGATGGAGAAACAGGAGGCACCGGGGCATGTATACCCCCGGTAGAATGAAGAAAAGAGATATACAGTACGTCCCAAAAAAAAAACGAAACCGTCAATTATCGAATTTTTATCATAAACTCGCTTTCAGTGGGTGCCTGCCATAGCAACATGCAGAATTGACAACAGACTTAACTCCGTTTCGTTGATAATCAGCCATGTATGAAGTCTTTCGTCTACGGCTGATTGTCAACGAAATGGAGTTAAGTCTTTTGTCAACTACGGCAGGCACCCATTGAAAACGAATTCGTTTCATAAAATTATGGAAATGCAAGCACTATTTCAAACAAACAGAACTTTGTCATTCCTTGCTCATATTTTCCTGATTGAGGTCTCATATGAAAGGGTAGCAACTCATTTTTCTAGAAATGTAATTTTCTCCTTGAAATTCAGATACCGTCCGCCAAATGACTTTTTGGTTTCCTCTCTTCAAATTCATTTCAATCACTCATGCGTGAAATATGTATTATATGAGTTACATCAAATGAAAGAAGAGGATCTAAGCTTTACAAATATGTGTCATTTATCAATTATAAATGTGACTAAGTTATGATAAAACATCGATAATTCTTGGTTTCGTTTTTCTGAAACGCACTGTATAGGGAAGATAGAGACGAGGGGACGTGACGTTTTTAAAGCGCCTTTTCGTAATATACAAAGTGCGTTAAAAAGAAATAATTACACAAACAAAGAACATTATCATACGAAGCTTACATAGTTAGAAACAAACTAAGAGGAATATTGAGAAAAATGTTTGTTGTTATTGGTGGTTTTTTTTGTTGTTGTTGGGGGGGGGGGGTTGATCATATTTCGTTTACTTATCATTTGGTCTAATGACTATTTAGGCTAATACTAAACAAATATGCCATGCACTGTGAGGCTCTAGTTGAAATTATGGATCGAGGTGCCAGGAATAGTGCCATTTTTGTCGCCGAGGTAAATATTAATAGTCATTTGGTCTAGTTTCCATATGGTCAGATCTCCTATTAGTCTACTTCCCCGTTGGTCTACAGTTCATTAAGTCTCAGTTTTTCTAATTGCCATTTCGTCTACCGTCCATCAGATCTAATAATCATTTGATGATAATTATTATTTAGGATTAAATGATCATGCGGATAGTATATGGTTAGGTGTAGACATATTGGAATATACTAATTGCGTATTAGACAAACCGGATGTAGGACAAACGGCAATAAATCGATAACGCCCCCTCCATCGCTGGACATATTTGCTACACTACAGCATCTACCGTTTATACTAATAATAATAATAAATAATAATAGCCTAATAGTCCACTCCAAATTTTATTAAACCGAAACGGAAATTCTTTTTGCCCAATTGATCGTGAGCCCGGCAGCCACTGAGCAGCGCCAGATCGACGTTGCTCTATCCCCTTATTGTTGAACGCCAAACAAGGTAGCAACAACTCCCATCTTTTAACGTCTTTTGGTATGACGCGGCCGGGATTCGAACCCACGAATTACATTATAAACCCCAGCGGGATATATGCATGAGTGAATTTCCCTATTTGTTGAATATCAAAGTGCACATCATTTAAATTAGTTGAATGTCAATGAAAAATATAAAGAGGCCTATATTTAACGTATTCTTGACAAGTTAAACTGTACAATCTTCGGCTGTTTTCTATGTTATTCATTCATTCATTCATTTGAATGTGCATCGTCACCAAAGCTTTATTTCATATTTATTTTTAAATGAATGCATTTACCTGCGAAAAACATCGCGACATACTGCAAACTGATTGAGATTTTGTCTCCTAGTCCCTCTTTCACTCGCTCCATATCACTGGAAAAAAATGACAACAGAATAATCGAATTGTTGGAGTGTTAATTACAAAGAGAAGATAAACGAAAAAGTATAAGACTGCCCTACACTGTATACTAAATATATATATATGTAATGTAGCTGCGCTATATACATGTATACGAGATATAGATTGACCTAATTACCATTACGTCTTCAGGGGGTTTCTTTACTTTCTCCATACGTCCAATATCATTGTATTAGAAAACATAACCAGGTAGATATTCATATTGAAGAAGATATCAAGTTCCAAAAGAGGATATAGATTCTCAAATGAGAATAAGCATTAATGTGTACACAAATATATGACAAACTTTTGATGATTTATTAGAATGGGAATAGCTGACTCATATGTCAACAACAAATGCATACACTGATTATTATAGGAACCCGAGGCAGGCAATGTATTCGTGACGATAATGCTGCGATAAATTTGCTGGGAATAACATAGAAGAGGATAAGAGTTGAAAGCTTACTCGGCCAATCTTGAGGTGAGTTCTCCACTTTTATGTACGTCAAACCAAGCTATCTCCTGATACAGAATGGCGTCAAAAAACGCTTTTCGAATCTTGTAAATCTGACGCTCACAGGCCAGTGTCCACAAAGAATTCTAGAAAATGAGACCAAATGTATATATGATCACAATGTTGATAAATGAAAATGATATAAAATGATAAAACAAAATGGACTATATGCCGCATTTATATCCTGAATTACATCACATGAATAACATGTTGATGATTTATACAGACATAAAAACAAACTAACAAATAAAACAAACAATCAAACTGTGCAACATACACAATTAAGGAAAACACGAGAAAATGTCAATTGAAATGTGCTTTATGCATTAACTTTTTACTAGAAAACTTCACATTCATGCTTATAATGTCTCAAATAATCAAAATGTGGGCCTTATTTGGACTTAAAGAGGGTCTTTACTAGTAGAGCAATCCATTGAATGCAATAAACCTTGTCTATGATTATATTGATTATCTTTGATGGGTTTTTTAAAATTATTATTAAGGGACTACGCCCTTTGCTAGATGCACCACTGCACAACACCTGACAAATGACGATGATTTTGATGGATAGACGGATAAAAGAAAATAAACCAATGTAAGTCAAAATAAATATTTTGGATATGTAAAAATGGCTGGCAAAAGTGAATTAAAAATATGGAAATAAAAGTAGATTGAAAAGGAATGAAACATTTCACATATGAAAAGAGAAAAGGCCGATATACAGAAATGAATTAACAAAGGAGTGAAAAAAGAGATGAATAAACAGATAAACAGAAGAATCAAGGAACAGATAGCATATCCCACCTGTAGATAAGCAAAGCATACGGTCGCTACCCCTATGAGAGAGAAGATCACGGCATACAACTGCATCTGGTCATCGAAGTCCTGAGTGGGGTTCGATGACGCTGTCGGCGACGTCGTTGCGTTGGTGTCGTTTTTGGCAAAATCGGTGAAGCTGTCGATGAGCTCGCCGAAGACGATGTTAAGCACGGGCCAGGCGCAGCCGTGCACGATGGCGGCCAGCGAACCGATCAGCATGAGGAACCCGTCCAGCGATGTCGCGTAGCGAAACTACGAGAAAATTGTTCATTTTTCGCATAATTAGAGCATGGATCTATAAATCTTTTAGATTTGCGTGGTCTGATTCGTGTGACGTCCATTCAAGGCAGTATATTAAAAGGACGTCGATCGTAGCAATCCACATTGTCTTCGTGCGAATCTAAAAGTCCCTAGTATTAAGGGCACTATTGGATTCAAATTGGTTGATCACTTTTTGACCTCTTCTTAACAAGTATCTCATATTAACTAAGTAACTAATATTTTTCTGCATTCAATTACTTTTCATTATCAGACAAGCCTCGAGCAAGTGGGTTTTGGATGATTTACACCATAACGATAATGTGTTAAGTTTTTGAGTAGAATGGTAAAATTGTTATTCCTTAATTATTGTATAATTACAAATTCATGCAGCTGCATGGAGCTGTAGGTTTATTCAGACCCATTTTCATACAACCAATATTATGTACATGATTGTACATGGTACAAGGGAGAGGGGGGGGGGGGGGGGGCTTTCATCCAGCACCGGAATTGGGGCATATAATGTTCAAAATAATACGCTTTAAATAATTAGGATACAGGGTTTAAAGGTTTAAAAATTATTGAGAAGAGGGAATCTAACCTCATCACCATCAGGATCAACATCCTTGTGATATTTGCCTGAATAATGAGAATTATTTTGGACATTTATAATTTGGTAATGATCGTGAGTTATAACATACCAGTCTCGTCAGAGCAACTTTGGGTTTCTCCTCTTCTTTCTCCTCAGTTCTGGAGAGAAAGAGGGGTAGAAGAGAGATAGAAGAGAGAAGCGAGAGAGAGAGAGAGAGAAAGCAAGATAGAGAGAGAGAGAGAGAGAGAGAAAGCAAGAGATAGAAAGAGAGAGGGAGAAAGAGAGAGAGAGAGAGAGAGAGAGAGAGAGAGAGGGGGGGGAGGGGGGGGGGGTAGGGGATGGCAATGTACATCGATTTAATTGAATGAACAATACATGAATACATTTCGCAGTATTCGGTAAAATTTTACACAGCCCAAGTATAGGTCCTATTTTTGACCCCGAGGAAAAAAGAAGAAAAAATGCGGAAATCTGTGATGTTAAACATACAATTTATTTTCTTAGTCGCTAGAACTCGAAAAATACAGAAATGGACTTCATACCTCTACTAATAATATTTATAAAGCTGATATCATTTAGAGTATAGTTAGGCCTACATATCTTACATTATTTCAATGACAATTTTCCCAACGATGAATTGCCATTTGGTCTACAGCCAGATCGTCTACTACCCAATAAGTCTATTCCCATAATGGTCTACACTCAGTCCACCTGCTATCTACATGGTCTAATAACCATTTCGTCTATTTATCATTTGGTCTAATGACTATAGGCTAATAGTCATTTGGTCTAATTTCCATATGGGCTAATCTCCAATAAGTCTTATGTGGCAATAGACCGATCGGGTAGTAGACGAACTGGTTGTAGACCCAGCGATAATAAACCTTTCCTAACCATTACGTACATGATTACGTTAAAAAAGTTCGGTGTGTTCTTATAAAGGCTCAAATCCGTCCCGTTCAGAGCGTTGGAAATTCACGTTTTATTTGTAATACTTGCATATGGAAAATATTATGGGCTTACATCCTTTAATATAACAGAAACAAAATCTAAATAGCATATTCACGAACATTATTAGACTTTCATTATTCATCGGAAATAAGATTTAACCAAAGTGGGTTAAAGATTGGAATCTCATCGAGAAAATCCAGTCAAGTATTTTTAATCATTAATTTGTTTCGATGGTTTCAGTTTAAAGTTTTGCAACGCATATTATATACGAACGATCTACTGTTTCAAATGAATTTAGTCCCAAGAAAAGAATTTACATTTTTTTAATGAACAGATTGAAACAGTTATACATCTGCTATGTGAATGTACGCATGTTAAACATATTTGAGATAGGTTAGAGCATTGGATTCACACTGGACCCGGAAATAAATTAACATTTTCATTACAAGACAAATTATTTGGTTTAAGAGGTTCAAATAATTATGCTTTGAATTGTATACTGATTGTGGTGCGACAGATGGTGTATACTTGCAAAATAAAGAAACAATTGCCCGACTTTGATAAAATTAGAGTTTCGATTATAAATTACTTCAAAAACGAAAAGTATATTGCAAATTCAAAATGTAGAAATAATAAATTCACAAGAAAATGGTTTCAATTCAGGAATTTGTTTACATGAAATGATATTTTTTTTGTATTTCTTTTCTTTCCATGCATATCAGAAATGAATTATTGATTTGTTAGTTTTTTGTTCAGTCAACAGTTCATCAATACTTGTATCTTGAGAAGCCAATTTTATTTATGTTATAAAGGTAAATTCCTTGAATATTAATTGTTAATTTGTTTCAAATGAACATCAATAAAATCCCTGTGGAGGGAAAAATATGGAAAAAATAAATTGTTTTAAAAAAAGGTACTTTATTTTAAAATTTCTTATTGTTAATGCAAATTATCTTCACTTACTTTCCGTCATCACCATCGTCTTTCCAGTTGTTATTCTTTTTGGATTCGACCACCGATCCATTGAGGTCCGCATTGATCTTCCCGTTCACTGCTCCGTGTTTCCCATTCATCGATGTCGGTTTGAACTCGACGTCGGTTGCCGATTCGACACCATTCGATTTCTCCTTCTCCATGCCTTTCAGCTGTGGAAATATTTCCCTATTATTTTCAAATTCAAAAAATAATTCTGACAGTAATTTCTGAAAAGCGAAGTAATCAAAATAATTTAATTAGAAATAAAATCGGATCAAATTCGTGTTAGTAATTTTAGAAGTGATATGTAAAAGCGGAGCAGTCAAACCTATCGCGAAAAGGAACACATAACAATGTAACTGAACTGTAAGGATCGAATAAGTATGAGCAGGCGATGACAACGATGCTGGTAAATATATAGTAAATAATGAGTCAATTATACAAAGGTCGTTATATCGCAACGTAACTGAAATATGTTTGTTCGTAGCGCATGTAGCAGTGGCGGATCCAGTCGGAGGCGAGGGGGGGGGGGGGGGGGGGGCTCAATTCGTGAGAAAATATTTAGCAGTAGCGAATCAGCTGATCACCCGGTCGGCTAATAAGCGGGGGGGGGGGGGCGGGGCTCAATTCTTGAGAAAATATTTAGCAGAAGCGAATTAATAGATCACCCGTCCGGCGAATAAGCGGGGGGGGGGGGGGGGGAGGGGGGGTCGCCCCCCTCCCCCGTAGATCCGCGCCTGGCAAGTAGGCCTATATGAGGTTATCGTGAACCGTATTTAACGATGACGCATCGTTACCTGTGATCGGCCATTGTATTTTACTTCGTTATAAATCACATTTAATAGGTAGATAAAAGTTTATTCTGTTCCGGTACTCGGGAAAAAAAGCAATGCTCTCTGAAATAATGAAATGATGTAGGCCTAATACTTACGAGCTTATATTCTTGCTATGTAGATCGTTGCGCAAAAACAAGAGTTTCCTGAAGACTTGACGACTGGGCCGTTACTATTTCCCGCTCTAATTAGCTTATTTTTAGAAGAGCACATCATCAGCTGGTTACGTAATATGACGATTGACCTATGGACTTTCAACAAACTTAGTCAAATTATAATTAATATGACTTAGATAGGTCTGCGAGCAAGGTACTATATGCTGACCCGAAAAGGGAACTGGCAGAGATTATAATTAAAGTAGCACATTACATACGAGCCTTGTCCCTTCAAACAATCAGTTAAATAGAGTGAGGAAAGCTCATCTTATGGGTACTGATTCAAGATGGGAGGGGCGTCTGTTTTATTTTTTTTCTTCTCAAAATAAGGGGAAGGTTGGACTACCATCCTCAGAGAGGAAATCTTTTTAAAATAGATTAGAAAGCTCTTGACCTTTTCCTCCTTAATTATACATGAATATTTATTTTCTTTCCTTCAATAAATTGAAATATTTGATTTATCCTATCGGATTTTATCATCATAAGAATACCCCGTTTTCATTACTTCTGCATATAATGGTTTCTGTCCTGGTTACTCTTACACAACTTACCGTTAAATCACTCTTTGTTTTTTATAACCAGGACCCCGTTTGATAAACAGCTGCGATTAATTTGCGATTTATATCAATCGCACCTAATTATGTTCATAAGAGATAAGAGACTGCCAAATTGCGATAGATTAGAGTGCTTGCGATTGATTCGGATCACACCGTAACTCTTTTTAAGACAGGGCCCTGTATTGGAAAATGTGAAATATGGAACAATAACTTAAAGATGAAATTGAGTTCTGGTCATGCGATTGCATTGTGACAGAAACGGTGTGGAACCGACCAGAAAAGGTTGATCATCTAGCGTATAAGAATTTGTGTGTATTGCAAGGTTCTGGAAATATCAAAATGATAAGAAATTTGGCCAAGTCTTGGTAAAGTTACAAACACTTGCACAGAAAGATGTATATGGGACTACACGAACACGTGGCGTAAAAAGTCCCCCCCCCCCCGATTTTTACGATGTTACATGCATATTTAGAATATGAAGGCATTTGAAGAGCCATGCTTTTCAGGGAACATGTCTTAACTGATGTTCTTCCACACTTGCATACTAAGAATGAGTAATGCTCACAAATTATTTTTCGCCTCTTCCCAGAACTCAACCTTCTCTTTAAGCCTATCTGCACTAGTTTGGCCAGGAGGGATTAGACATCCCTGCGTGGTCACTGGCAGGTGATTATCTCATCGAATCAGCTTTAAATTAACATAAGAAAAAGGGACCATGAGGGATCAACGGTTACCGCTTAGGCATTGTTGGCTATATAGAGAGCGCAAGTAGCTACAAGTAGTGCAGTCCCGCCTTAATGAACTTAACAATAAATATCTCATAAGGTGGATAAGTACAACGCGTGAATTCTAAAATAATAATAATTTGTTTTACCCATGGAAGCCTCATCATCTGTGCTGTTCTTGCCAAGGCCTTCAATTATGCATAATAATTATTACACTCAGCAATTGCCAGGTACGCATTTACACATAGATGGAGACTGTCAAATGTGGATTAATTTCTTGCCAATGGAAGTTAAGTATTAGGCTGGGGTTCGGATCCCAAACTTTTACATTGGGAGTCAAGTGAATAAACCACTACACCCGACAGTTTGGGAACTGAATAAAAGAAAGGGTGTGCCTATCATTTGTTGGCCTATTTGTTGGCGATCAAAATGTCGTGTGGTAGTCTACCCAAAATGCTACCCTCCCCGATCCGCCACTCGTCCTCATCTAAGATGCTACTGACTTAGAACCTTTAGATCACAAGCATTAATGTTATTAATATAACTGACATATGAGAATTAAGCCTTTGAGAAAGACAAAAATTTTACTTTGTCACCTGTAAAGTAGTCTTTACAGCTGAAAATTAAGACAAGATTAAGAGATGCAAATTCAATTTCAATTCAATTCAATTCAAATTCAAATAAATTCAATTCTATTCAATTCAATAAGAAAAAGAAAAAGAAAGATTACATTATAGAGTTAATGTATGCATTGGCATATTCAGTTGCTGTGTCGTTGGAGAGCATCATGCCGCGAGTGCCGTCACAATAATGTTCACAGCTTGGCAAATACTGGTTAACGCCATCTACGTCTGATTTGGGACAACTGAACGTAAATGAATGGACTTGATTTACGGTAGTTAGCGACTTAAAGGTAATACAAAGTTTTGGGAAATTTTGAAAATTGGGTGGATAGTGAATCTTTACAATTTTGATATATTTGGATGCCCCTGTGGATGTATTATAAGCACTAAAAAAATTAGCCCCCATAACACTTTTTTTTTCGAGAAAAATTGAATATAAAAATTTACCGGTGCTCCCGGTAAATTTTGATAAATTTCAAATAGCGCCTACGGCCGTACAATGGTAGATGCGACCATGAAAATCTCAGAATATGTAGTTGGGATATATAATTTCCGAACGGGAATAGCTAATCTGTCGATTTTAGTCAAGAAACATTGTTTCATAGCTAAATTAATATCTTGACCTTGAGAGGGAGCTATACAACATAAAGAGTTTATTATTTGTAATTTCATAACTTTAGACTCGATTTCAACCGCGACAACGATCAATGTATATTGTAGGAACGCATATGCTTCCAATATGTTAATTTGACCCAAATTCATGACCCATACCAAAACTTTGTAATACCTTTAATCTCTACATGGTCAGCGTTCGCGAAACAAACCGAAGTTCTCCTCACGCTTCGGTTTCGCGTCGTCCGTATACCCGATTGGCCCCGAGTCAGGCCACGGGAAAGACACGTATAGTCTCGCCAGGCTACACTCCCTTTAAGCTGTTCAAGGGTATGACTATAATCAATTCAAAACAAGCTCTCACAATTCATCACTCTTAATGATGTCACATGCCCCTGCATCGAATACAAAAATGTGTCAATAAATGAGAAGAAGAAGAAGAAGAAACAGAAGAAGAAGAAGAAAATGAAAGAAAAGATGAAAGAGCATGAGAAAAGAAGAAAGGGAACATGAAATGCACATTATACGGCACTGCCTTTTTTTTGTATTACATCCACTATGATTTCCGATTCCAGCCCCCCCCCCCCCCCCCCCCCCCCCCCCCATGGAATCAGTGCCACACTACACCACTTTTTGATGTCATGAACGCCGATCGAAGACGCCGATGCTCAGTTTGCGCGCGCGTTAAAGTGGCCGCACAAGTCAGCCACAAGAGCGGATATAGCACGCCGTGCGCCACCCATGATTGAAAGGAGTTTATTCTGCATCTCATAAACCGAGGACAAAGGAAAACAAAATATCTGCTTAGCCTACTTTTGTAAGTAAATTGCTCTTTACAAGATTCAGACATATATATCTCATTTTATGTAGGTATGACTTTTTTAACGTGCCAATCAAAGCGCTATTTTTGCTTAATTGCCAATGCGTCTCATTTTCTCAGAGTCAAACGTTTCTGAGTTATTTTAATGTCGTGTGTCCAGACAGGTGGGTCATCCAAACAGTTTTGAAGATTTTTTATACGCATAGCTTCATATTTCTTTCATTAGATTAGCTGAACAATATTGTAAATTAAAAATCTGTAGGGAATTATAGTGATGTTTCTGTTATGCATATTTTTCGTTAAATCCAAATGCATAAGTCTTTAGTGTCAGCTTTTGTTTAAACTTTGTTTGATGGTTTATTTGACCTGACTGTTTTTAAAGAAAGCATAGTTATGTTATGTATGTGTAACTGTAAGCGACCAGGGGACCGACGCGACAGTTCCGAATGAGAAGGGCACCGAATCCACTAGATGTTGAACCAATACTAAACCGCTGAACCAGCTCGCATACTCACTCTCTCCCTCTCTCTCTCTAAAGACTATAATTCAATTTAGTTAAAGGTAATACAAAGTTTTAGGAAATTTTGAAAATTGGGTGGATAGTGATTCTTTACAATTTTGATATATTTAGAGGCCCATGTGGATGTGTTATAAGCACTAGAAATGTTAGCCCCTATAACACTTCTGCTTTCGAGAAAAATTAAATATAAAAATTTACCGGTGCTCCCGGTAAATTTTGATGAATTTCAAATAGCGCCTACGGCCGTACACTGGTAGCTGCGACCATGAAAATCTCAGAATATGTAGTTATGATGTATAATTTCCAAACGGGAATAGCTAATCGGTCGATTTTAGTCAAGAAACATTGTTGTATAGCTTAATTAATATCTTGACCTTGAGAGGGAGCTATACAACATAAAGAGTTTATTATTGAAAATTTCATAACTTTAGACTCGATTTCGACCTCGACAATTATCACTGAATACTTAAGAATCGCATATGCTTCCAATATATTCATTTAAACCAAATTCATGACCCCATACCAAAACTTTGTAAT